AGCATCAAAATATACCCAAAATATACTGGTAAGAAACCCTATTATACCAGAGGTATAAACATTTGAGTGTCAAAGGGGTCTTAACTCTGCAAAAATAAACTTTAATATATCAATCTATCACTATTAAATGTCCTCAGAAATTGATCACCTGTGTCTCCTCAATACCAAAATAAGAAAGCAAACAGGTACTTTAAGGTTTATCTCAGGAAAAGTTAAAAATACCTAATTGATAATAGTAAAAAGAAAAAGCATGATCCACATTGTCCAGCTACCTCTTGAAAAGCCCCCTTTCCTATGCCCACACTTGCTTAATGCCCAACAAGTCAGCTGGAAGCAGTTCTGGGTGGCAAAGAACCCCCATTCCCATTTATCTACCACCCTTAACCCCCTACGTTTTCCTATATCTACAAGTATAGTAGGAATGTTACAATTCCTAGCCACCCCTAACTAAATAACCATGCATGCAATTTCCATCAGTCAGGCAGAATGCTTAGTCTTCCCAGATCCTTGCATCCTATGTAATCCCTGTGCTAGACGAACATGGAATATACTCACAGCTTTATCAAGTAAATTATGTGCATGTGGACATAGCTTCATAAGGCCAAAATTCATGCTCAGGCGACCAACAACAGCAGATTCCACCCATTCCCTGGCCACCTCTTCCACACCATTCATTTCTAGTAAGCCTATTGCACAATCACTCTTTGTCTTTCCCAATTAACATTCTTCCTGTGGGGCTTATTGCACTTTTTGTTTTCTCTCACATGGTAAATAGTGATAAAATAATTAATAGATGTGCTGAGAGGACTTCCAGCTGATTGGCTTAGATTCTATCTATTTCTATTTTTAAGCAAGTTGTCATTCCTGTCTTCTCTTTGCTGATTGTGACTCTGAGCTGTCACATGCATCTGGCTGCTGTCTCTGTGATCTGTATGTGCCAGAAACATATATATGTTTTATTATGTAGTAGAATTATAATGATGATATATAATTTCATATATTGTTGCAAAATTCATAATCATAATTTTAAATGAAGTTGAATAAAAATACATAGTATATTTATATCTATTAGAGTGCTTTACAAAAAGCTGTTAGGGTTGAAGAAAAAATGTTGACTTCAAGCTTTCTTCAAAGTAAGGCCAAAAGCATTATAATACCATACAATATATTCATGATAAAGAAATATATTAAGATTAATTTATTTTATTAATTGTCATGCTAGAAACCCCATCCAATGACTGAGGGAACTGGATGCAGAGATCCACAGCCAGGCACCGGGTGGAGCTCCAGGAGTGCAATTGGCTAGAAAGAGGAGGGTTTATATGAGCAAGAATTGTTGAGACCAAGATTGGATAATGCACAGGGACAAATAGCCAAACTAAGGGAAACACAAGAACTATGAACCAAAGGCTGAGAGGCCCCAACGCAGGCCCTCTGAATAGGTGAGACAGTTGATTGGCTTGATCTGTTTGGGAGGCATCCAGGCAATGGGACCAGGTCCTGTGCTCATTGCATGGGTTGGCTCTTTGAAAGCTGGGACTTATGCAGGGACACTTGGCTCAGGCTGTGAGGAGGGGACTGGACCTGCCTGGACTGATTCTACCAGGTTGATCTCAATCCTCGGGGGCGTCTTTGCCCTGGAGGAGATGAGAATGTGGGGTGGGCTGGGAGGAAGGCAGGAGCAGCGGGAGGGGGGAGAACAAGGAAATCAGTGACTAATATGTAAAATTAAATTATATTGTAAAATAAAATAAAATAATAAAAAAGTTATAGGTATTCACTTAAAAGATATTATTTCATGTTATCAATGACATTTTCCCATCCTTTTTTCTCCCTGTAAGTCCATTCAAATCCCCAATCCTTCCTCCCTCTCATTTCAAATGGGGTAAGGTCTCTCTTGAGAATCAACAAAGCACTGAATATCAAGTTGAGGAAGGAGCAAGCACCTCTCCAGAGCATCAAGGCTTAATAAGGCATCCTACTATAGAGAATAAATTTCCAAGAGCCAGCACATGCATTAATGGCATGTCCTGGTACCAATGCTAGGGGTCCCACGAGGTACCAAGCTACAAAAATGTTTTCCAGATGCAGAGGGTTTAGGCCAGTCCAGAGTCCATGAGCCCTCAAATCCTCAGGTCATCTGTCTATGTGGTTTTTCTCATCATAATCTTGATGTTCCCCTGCTCATATAATCCATATATCTTATGTTCTGCACCCTAAGATCTCAAGCCAGGGCTTGAATCTGGATATCTGCATTTGTTCCATCAGGTACTGGATGAAGGCTCTATGAAGACAATTAGTATAGTCACCAATATGATTAAGGGGGAAGGCCAGTTTGGGACCACTCTGCCTATTACTAGCAGAATTAGCTAGGGCCCTCCGTGAACTGCTATCAATAAGACAAAACATTAACCTACAGGATGGGAAATATGTTCACCAACTACACATCTGTGAGAGGCTTGATATAAAAAATATATAAAGAACACAAGAAACCAGGCATAAAAATACCAAATAAGGCCAGTATAAACTGGGGACAGATTTAAAGAGAATGTTCTCAACAAAATAATTTTAATATCCCAGTTACATTTAAAGAAGTGTTAAACAACCTTAGAGAGCAGTGAAATTCAAATCAAACTGCCAGTAAGATACCATCCCTAAGACAACTGTCAGAATGGCCATGATCAAAAGGACTAATGGCAGCATATGTTGAAAGCATGTGGATTAAATTGTGTTTATAAGCAGTGGGACATATGCTACTCTGTGACAGAATGGACCCAACAGCTTCCCAGAGCTACAGCAGTAATCATGGCTCCTGATAGCTAAGTCATGAAGATAGGCTTTCAGAGAAAGGGGGAGGGGAAAAGAGCAAGCCATAAACGTTGTGTGCCATTCCATACCCTCAGATGAGCCTTGTTAAACTGCAAATATCATAGGAATTGAGGATTTGTCTCATGAGGTCAAAAACAATACAGATGTTCAGTAAAGAAAGAATCAGACAGAAAAAAAATCAAGACTTATACAAGTGTCTCTGATGATATTTTGTAATAAACACACACACACACACACACACACACACACACACACACACACACACACACACACACACACACCATACAAGAAAAATGCAGAGGAGTCCCCTGTCCATAAAAGCATAAAATTTGGTAAAATCATGTGTGATCATTGTTGTTCTTAAAAAGGGAGGTCCTTTTAACAATTGTTTACATTATGAGGATGTTATAAACAGTCCCTTAAGCCATTGATAGACTGTTATCTCCACTTATAATCATTTTTCTTTATTAAGGTAAAATTGCAGCTAACAGGAACTACAAAACAACAAGGTAAAGTTGATGGCTTTGCCAACTCTTTCAAATGCCATAATTTACCAACATTTAGCCCTGCATAGGGTACTGATGCTTTCATATGGAAAGACAGGACTAGTTCTCACTATGACCTTTTTCAGAAATGCAGACACATAACATAGACCAGAACACAAACTCTATAAAATATAATATCTTAGTATATTCCACATGGCCAGGAAGGTACAACATCAGAATGCGAACCTTCATCTGATAATTCCCTGAAAGCATATAATTTCTGACAGTCTTCTAAATATTTATCCTCATAACAACAGGCAACATTGGCTGTTACTGTCTGAAAAAAAAGCACCATTTACATGACTAATACAGATCTCAAATGGAGTATAACTTATAATGTTTTGTCTCATGTCACCTTAAAACTCCAGAATCTCACCATTATTCTTTGAATAAGAAAATATTTCATGCAATGATCAGACACAGATCATACTGAAACAAAAAGGATGTCTGGATGAAGACAGTGTCTTCTAACAAAGATAGGGAATTAAAAAGCACATATATTAGACAATTTGAGTGCCAAGAAAATATTACATGAAGGCAAGGAATCAACAAAAAATGGTTAGCACAGTAAAACCACAAACGATAATGCCAACATAGATGGGAAACACTCTCAAGATCCACACTTAGCAGAAAATCTTGCACAAATATTGGATGCTAAGATAGAAAGAATCCATTTACACTGTACACTAACACTGATAGTCCGTTCAACTACAAAAGGTCAATGTTCAAATGACTACCCCTAATCACCACATACTGTACACTGTGTGAGTTAGTTATGTATACATTTTTATATGTAAAATTTAGTAAAATAATTTTAATAAATAGTGGTATTTATTTTGACAATTTACGGTGCAGATATTATGTAGTAGATTGGAAAAAAAGTGCAACATAATCTAAATTCAGTACTCATGCATGAATTTAAAAACTGTATCAAGAAAGTGTACACATTCATACGTATCTGTGTATATGCATACATATGGATAAGCAAAATCATACTTATACACATACATAAACATATCAATGTTATAATGTTGTTGAAATGCATCATAGAACAAGTAGAGAGATATTGTGAAAACTGAATCTCTTATACTATGAAGGGTGTCAGTGTTTTCTCACTAATGTGGCAGTAATGTGTTATTTGTTTTACTTCACTGAGAAAAGTATATCCTTAGTGCCAAACTGGAGCTTAAAAAGCCATTTAAAAAATATACTTACACATCCCAATATGATGAAAATAAACTATTTTTGAAGTACCTACAATCTTATGTCATCATTGAACAGAAATGGTATTGCTGCTATTTACAAGCTTCACTGGGATTGATTACATGTGATAGGACTGAAGTTTAACCTGCATGTTAGTGGACTAAATGATGATGAACAAGATTTCTCACTCTTATGAGCTACATACTCTAAAAGAGAAAATATGGAGTAACTCTCAAATATAATTTTGTCATAGTGACCAAATAATCAGGGGAGGATTCAAGTAATTATTCAAGAAAAGATGAAAAAGGTGTGTTTATTATTATCAAATGAAGTATTGAATGCCTGTCTGCCATCATCAATAAATAATTGACATACAATGAAGTTAATGCCCTCTCTTCTTTCATATATAGGAATGGACTGAGAATTAGGAAAAAATCATGTACAAAAGACTCTTTATGAAAGAACACAGTGATAATGCAAACCAAGAATGCAAAGTTGATATTGTGAATAACTAACAGGCATCAGGATAATAACAAGTAAGTTTCCAGGGCTATAATTTATTTTCCATATATTATTGACTCTATGGAAAATATATTTTCCATATATTATGACTCCATATATTATTGGTAAGAGGTAGAGAAATGAGTGCAAATGTTACTGCTCCATATTTTCAGTGCCTCTATGGTTCATGAATAAAATTACAGTGCCAAACCATTCCCACAATAAATCTCCCAGGGTAGAAGAGACAGCAGGATTTCACCAGTCTCTGACAGATACAAAAGGATCAAGAAAATCAACTTCCTTGCCCATAGTGAAGGACATCAAGACTGGCACAGGAATGCTATATCCTTAAAGAAAGCAGTCGATTCAGTAGAAGGGAAGAACAGGACGCCCCTACCCGATGCCAGATTTTAACACCTGAAGTGAATTCAAACCAAAAACAAGAGAACACATCTTTAAAGAAGAGCCAGTAGCTGCAGAAGCAGGAATCTGCTTGCTGCACGTTTGACAGCATCAGGTGACTCAGATCTGTAATGCTTGAATCAAACAATCTTTGATTTGGTAATTTCCACAGGATCTGTCTCCCCTTATATTACAGGAGCAATCTGCCTTGTGGCCCCCAAATAACAATTGGATTTAGTTTGCTCATAAGCTATTGAGACCCAGATTATACCCACAGGCTGACTGGTGAGAAACTGCTCTGCTGACAACTTTATTAGCTGTTCTTGCTTCTGATGAAGGAGGGTGTGCATTCAAATTTTGTTTGGAACAGGAATCTTTTGGACCCCATTTATTCTTTACCCAGCAGGTCTGCTTAGAGAGGATGATTCGATCATGCATCTGATGCAGGTTTAGAGGTCCTGCACCTGTCTGTGCAGGGGGGTTGTCTTTTCTCTACCCCTTGGCCTTGCTTTAACTACACAAAGCCTGAGACAGTAGGTGCTGGATGGAATAGAATACAAGCACCCTCAAAGCTATCCTGTATTTTCTATGTGTTTCTCTCTCCTAAATCCTTCTAAATAATATTTCCTGCTGCTTCTACTCAAGAATACTCTTGGGAAATGAGGGGGTGGGAAATGGCACAACCAACAAGAAGCAATATGGAGAGTGAACTCAATTCCACCAATGGAAAGCACATCCTGGGCTACTCTTTGAGATCTCCTTCAGAGCTGCTGAGTCATTTCACAACCCGAACTAAGTGTGTGCTGCACCCAAAACACCGAAACTGAAAGTGGATGACAGGAAATGATGTAATGAATCTTAGAACCAGAATTCTATTCTCAAAAGACAAGAACATCTCATGGAAACTAGACAGTGATCATATACCTGGTACTTGGCCCTGTTTCCTGGCTGCCTACCTGAAAGCCTCACTCTCCACGTGCAGATGGCTAATTATGACACTGGGCTGCAAATTTTACCTTTAAGGTAACAGTTTTTGATATGCCATTTTAGATTCCACAAATGCAATTATTTGTGGAATCTGATTCTTGAAATTTTCATAGATTCCCAGGTGGCTAAGTGAGAACTGTCATTGACAAAGTCCTTTTCTTAATGGGGCCTCTAAGGAAGCATATAATCTATACATCACTGGTTTCTGTCAGGTATAAAGCCTGAAGCAGTGGCTTCCCAGGAAGGAGGACATTTCTGGCAGACCAAGCAGGAACAGGTGACTCAGAGAAGGAGTGTGGGCATTACCATCAAACCCTGCTTATTCATGTTTCTACTGCCTCTGTCTGCACAGTCTCTGGGACAGTTATCCTTCTCTTGTGTTATTTCCAGTCAGGCTTTGGCTAAATCCAGCTATGAGCTGGAATTAAGCCAGGAGCCTGGCTATTGAAACTGTGGACTGCAAGCGCTTTTATTCCATCTGTCTGACTCATATTCAAATATACAACCAATAAGAAGAGAGCTGTCTAAAGTGGAAGGAGAAGCAAGTGAGGGCAATGAATTTGGGGATCTCTGTTAGAGCTGTGACTCATCTGTCTCTCCCTCCTTCCTGTGTGTTGTAAAAGGAGCAGGGAAACTGAAAAGGGAACATAGGATAAAATGAAATTACCATGGGCTCTCACTCCAACTAAGATAACTGGCTTATGGTCTCTTGTGGTGTTAGGTGTACCAGGCACCCCCTAACTACATGCCTGTATATCCTCTGTCCATCTGTCAGGAAGATAACTTATGCATCCCAGGGCCTTGCCTACTAAGTTACCCTATGGTATGTGATTATGTAACCTGCATTCAGCTTGATTACATAGTCTATGTTCCTGCATGGCACAGCTATGTGAGACATGAATAAGCCTGAAAACAAGACTGTAAAATGTAGCACAAGCTATGTGACCAGCCTCATGAAGGCCTCCAGGTTCCTGTTTAAAAATTTGTAGAGAAAGACATTGGGCTTGAGCCAACCCCAGGCCCATATAGGTCACCTGGGTCTCATCTAAAATACTATTGATATGTACATATGTCAGTTGACTGACCCTGTGTAACTCATGACATGAGTACATTAATCTAAGACCAACATACAGGCAATTTCCTACCCTGGGTCATGGATGATTAAAGGTATCCAGGTTGGTCCTTACCCAACATCAGTCATGTCTTAGCAATACCTTCAGTAGCCATTATAGTATAGGGATGACAATTTCCTTTCTTTGGACACTGGAGACCCTTACTTCATCCTGATGGAGTTTTGGGGTCTTACCTGTCATTCCAAACTCCGTGTTGTCTGGGTAGAGGGTCAACCTAACTTACCTCACATAACACATGACTTAAATATATTTTCATGGGTATATCTCTTACACATAGTTTGGTATGTGCAAACCTGCCCTGTGCACATAATGGGAAGAAATTTTTTACCTAAGGCACTAGCTTCTAGTTCATTAGTGCCCACATTTCCCTACCACAGATTTGTCAGCAGCTCCTCTCCTCCTCTTCTTGGCACTCAGACCACTAGTTCTGACATGACATTTCTCTTTCAATCTCTCATGTATACTCCATAGTCTTGGATAGCCAGAACCCTTCTGATGCTAGAAACAATCACTCTATTGTTATCCAGTTCCAGCACCCTTCCTGGTACATCACTCAAATTCAGGACACAATTTCACTCCAGAGCCATAGAGGACTAAGCCTATCATCATTGAAATTCTCAGAAAGATGCTACTTCATCCAAATTCTTCTCCCTTTACCACCTCTATACTTAGAGTTAAAGACTAATAGAATATACCACCTGATTTAAGACCGGCATGTAACTACTAAATGAAATGTTATCATTAAATAAAAAACACAGTGCTAAATATTGGGTTGAAGAATTAGAGATCAGGGAAATTAGAAAAGTTACAAGCAAACCTTACCGCAGCAACCCTGCATCATCCCAATGCAAGCTACATGTTGTCTTACACATGCTTTTATTGCCTTGTTCCTATGCCCTATAATTGGCTTTATTAGCCCAGCTATTTCTTTTTTACGTTGTTTGTCCATAAAGAACTCCACGTCTTTATGTTTGGTACTGTCCTTAAAGGAGTTTGTCACCATGCTATGCTCTGTTCCTTAGTATGGCCTTGAACACACAGAGACCCTGTGTGATATGTGTGCTGCCTGAATTTTTGTTTACATAAAATGTTTGGCCTTTCCCACCTGATCTCCTGCAAGATTTAATAAAGTATAAATAAAATATCACCACATTTCAGCACAAAAAAATATCAGTACACCTGCAGCTCATTAGATCTTCAGAAGTCCTCTCAATCCCGTAATAGCTGGACTTTACACAATTCTTTACACTATCCCTTCAGAAACGACACATTACTCAGTACTATATCTCAAGGTTACCTTCTTTCCTATCCCTGTCAGTCCTCTGTCTCAAAATATCTTTACCTTATCCTGGACAGATGCTGACACTTACTTCTATATGTAGTTAATTGGACTGTCTTGACACACAGATTCTTGGACATCCCACAACTATTTCATCAATGCCCAGGTTCAGACTTGCTCTCCCTCTCCCTCATTAGATTTAACTTTTACAATTAGTAGATAAATTTCTACTCTGTGGCCTATAAGTATATGATCATCAAACTAAAACCTCTCCTCTTCTAAATTTTTTGTACACATGGAGTTATGGAGTATCAAGTTCCAAAATCCAGCTATCCACTCCTCAGGTCACCTTTTGGGTGTAAACATTACCACGTCATACTAGGCTATAGCTTCAGATAGAAAGCATCTAATTCAGTCTTTTGCAGGCTACTCTACTAAACACGATATTCTGTCCTTTCTAGAAATAGCTAAATTATTGTAATCCTGCATTTGATCTTTTTAATCTCCTGCCAAACCCCTTATCTGAGGCAGCTAGGAGATCTTGAATTAATCCCTCATTCACCCCATTATTAATCCTTTGCAGAAATTCCAATAGGCTCTGCTTCAGGACTCAGCACAATACCTCCCACATCAACTCATCCCTTCTCTGTCTATGTCACAGAAAGAGAATGATATGCCTTTGGGATTCTAGGGCACCAGCAGAGACCCTCCATTGCACCTGTAGCATACCTGTCAAAAATCAACACCTCACCACACAGAGATGGTGACCAATCACATGTGATTTGGGAGCTGCTAATCTCCTTAATAGTGAATCCAAAAAACTAAATTTTGGGTCACCTAATACATCCTCTTCCCACCATAATTTGTCCCATCTTTTAACTTATAAAATTTTACAAACTTTTCCTACTTCCTCCGTTTTTTTGTCTCCAAGTGTTATTACTGGAAGATACCACACTTACTTTCCAGACTTCCCCACTTGTTAATATTTCAATCCTCCTTGCTCAGACTAGTGCTGACTATTCCACATCTCACTACTGCACTTAAATCATAAAGGGAATTTTGCCTCATCCTTCACACATACTGGATTGCATGTGTACCAGGCGACTTGTTCCTAGTACACAAATTGATGTTCCTTTTTATATGATGGAATGAATAAAACAGAATATGCCATAGTGCCAGATATTAGGGTGGTAGAATCAAACGCATACACAACTAATCAAATGCCTGAGCTAATGTCTCACACCTGTACTTTCCACTTGGCAAAGGGGCAATTCCTAAATGTTATACATACTCCAAATATGATTTTTATTTTTGTTTTGCTAGACAGATAACTCTGTGTAATTTTGTTGCCTATCTTGAATCTTGCTCTGTAGACCATGCTAACTTTGAACTCACATATATCTGCCTGTTTCTGACTCCCAAATGCTGGTATTAAAGCACGTGCCACCACCACCCAGGTTCCAAATATACTTTTTATATCTT